TTCCCACATGATCCAGCAATTTCACTTCTAGGCATATACCCATAAGAAATGAAAACGTATGCCAAACACTCATACACAAATGTTCATATTAGCATTATTCATAATAGCCAAAAATGGAAACAACTCAAATGCCTATCAACTGATGAATGGATAAACAAAATCTGGCATTTTCATACAATAGAATATTATTTGGCCATAAAAAGGAATGAAGTACTGACACATGCTACAACATGGATGGACCTTGAAAACATTATGCTAAGTGAATGATGCCAGTCATACAGGACTACATACTGTGTGATTCCATTTATTTGAAATGTCCGGAATAGGCCAATCTATAGGAGATAGAACTTAGATTAGTGGCTGCCCAGAGATGGTGGGGGCGTGTATTGGGGGAAATGGGGAGTGACTGCCAATGGGCACAGGGTTTCCTTTTAGGGGGATGAAAATATTCTAAAATTGATTGTGGTTATGGTTTCAGAACTCTGTGACTATACTAAAAACCATTGAATTGTACACTGTTAAGTAGGTAAATTGTATGGTATATGAATTATATCTCAATAAAGCTGATGTATAAAATATTCACTTCAGGAACCCTGCGGAGAGCCTAAAAAGACAGGCATTTGTGTTCTAGAACACCTACGATTTTGTTAGAGATATGTATGACTGCCATATGTATTAAAATGTTGAGGACAGAGAAAACTGGCTTCAAATATGAGCCCCAGAAAGTCATAAGAGCAAACACCTCTATTTGCTGGCATTGATTTGTATTTCACATAGGCAAGTCTATGTCATTTTGGGGTGAGTAACTGCATGGATGCATTTTTTTATTAAAGATTACCGATTCTCCTGAGCAATGCTGGACATGAGGGCAGCTAATGCAAATGAAAATAAAACTCTTCCCATGTTCCCTAACTCACTGAATGACACCGTCAATCTTCCAGTTGCCAAGCCAGACATCTAGGAGTCACCCTCAACTCCTCCCTTACTCCCATTTCTAATCTATCACCAAGTCCTATCAATTCTACCTCCTAAATACCTCAAATTCATTCACTTCTTCCCATCTTCCACCATCACCAACCTAGTCCAAGTTATCTTTCGCCTCAGCTACTGTAGGAAACTTTTAGCTGGTCTCCTTGCATCTCTTGCTTTCTTCTATACCCTTCTCCATCCAGCAACCAGAGTGGTCTTTTAAATTTTCAACTATGTGTGACCTTGCTTAATCTTCAGTAGTTTCCCATTGCTCTTAAACACCAAAATCCTGAATGTGGCCTACAAGGCCCTGCCCACCTGTCTGTCCTTCTTTTGAGCCACTCTTTCTCTGACTGTTAGCCACACTGTACTCTACAAGGCCACTAATTACCACCTCCTAGACAAACTTGATGGCCTCTTTCTTTACCCTGGTCTTCATTATTGACCACTGCCCCCTTATTGAAATTCTCTTTTCCTTTGTCCTTTATTTTCTCACCACTCCTCTGTGTTGTCTTTTCCTTCTTACCACTCAACTATGAACGTTTCCAATGTTCCTCTACTCTTTACTTCTCTATATTCTATACTGTTTTAAGTGAATTGATACACTTCAACTATTACCTGAGCTCCAGTCCATATCTGCAACAGCCTTCATGATATCTCCAGTTACCTCAATCCTAACATGATTAAAATAGAACTTATTGTTATCTTGATCCCTTATCCCCAGAAGCATTACCTTCCAATTTCTTCTTTCAGTGGTATCAACATTGTCTCAGCCACTCAAACTATATACTTCAGAGCCATTTCCAATTGACCTATCCTTCATTCCCCATATCAAATCAGTTACCAATTTCTGTTGATTTTTCTTTAGAATGTTTCTTACATCTTTCCATTTCCATTGTCACTATTTTAATTCTGACCCTCATCACTTCATTCTTAGACTCTTACAACTTCATTTAAACAGGTCTCACTGTCTGTGTTTCCTCACACTTAGGTCCTGGCATTTCAATCTTCTTAAAATTCCAATTTCATCATATCACTTCGCTTCTCAAAAAGTTTCAGGGACTTCTCATTGCCAGCAGAATAAATTCCAAAATCTGTGGCCTGTAATGCAAAACCCTTTACACTCCAGCCCAACATTTTACAAATTACATCCCACAAGATGTTAGCAAATGATCTATATACCCTAGATTAAACAAAGTTACATGGTTTCCTTACTGTAAAACTTCCTAGAACTTTTAATGAACTACTGTGCATTATAACACTCAAAGAGGGTGTATATAGAATGCAGCATTTCCAAGACATATTTGACTAAAGAACTCTATTTTTATTGACCATCTGTTAACATTTTTCATGACACTAATGTTCTGAGGAAAAGCATTTAGGAAATGCTTAGGTAGCCCCATCCTACATTTCCAGTCCTATTTCCCATTAACTTCCCTACATAAATTGTCTGCTTAGGCCAAACAACTATTAATCTCTCTGAGACGTGCTCAGTCTCAAGCACAATCCAAGTATTTATTTTGTTCTGCCCATATGGAACGCCTTTCTCTTTCTCTGTAAATCTATATTTTTATTTTTTGAGATATAATTCATATATCACAAAATTCATAATTCTAAAGTGTACAATTCAGTGGTTTTTAGTATATTCACAAAATTGTGCAACTATCACCAGTATCTAATTCCAGAACATTTTCATCACCCCAAAAAGAAATCTCACACTCATCAGCAGTCAGTCCCCATTCCCCTCTGCCCCAGGCCCTGGCAACCACCAATCTGCTTTCTGTCTCTACGGATTTGCCTATTCTGGACATTTCATATGACCTCTGTACATGTAGATCCTACTCATCTACCCTAAGACCATGTTTATTCAATCATCTGTTCATTCCTTCAGTTAAAATCACAACGCTGTCAGACACTGTGCCAGGCTGTAAATACACAAGGGTAGATGACATTCCATCTTCAAGGAACTCCCAGTCTAGTGGAGGAGACAGACAATACAGTGTTAGAAGTGCTATTGTAGTGCTGTGAACAAAGTGCCATAGGAACAAAGCGGTGTGAATAATAAATTGTGGAGATTCAGGGAAAGCCTCACTGAGGAAGTAGTATTTGACTGGATATTGATTCATTTGTTCACTCATTCATTAATTCATTCATTCAGCAAACATCTGTTGTGCTCCTATTATGTGCCAGGCACAGTGTTGGACTCTGAGGACACAAAGATGAACAAGAAAAATTCCCTGCACCTCAAGGAGCTCAACAGTCTGGAGGAGGACATAAATATATAAACAGTTTCAAACAATGTGATATAAGTTGTATAGAGGAATGTAAATCTTGCTATGGAAACAGAGTAACTAACTCTCCTTGTGAATTTGAAGAAAATGTAGAGGTTTACCAAGTGGACAAGGATGGGAGGTGGCATTTCAAGCAGAGAGACTAGACCTCCTCTGACTGTGTCAGCCTAATGCTCGTTTCTTTTACTGAACTAGAGCGCTTAATGCTGGTGTCAGTCTGACTAGGCCTCAATCATATACCTTGTATAGTCCTCCTTATATGTGGATGCCTTGTCTCGCCAAAGGCACTATGTGTCCTTTAGGATAAGAGCTTTGTCTTGTCCCTCTTAGCACCCTCCTTCTCATAGTGTTTTATGCACAGTAATTTTCATAGATCCAAATGAGTGAAAGAATTATAGCTGAGACAAGGTCATTGACATTCTCAGGAAACTGCTGTCCAAGTCTTCTATCGAATGTCCCCCTTCAAGGGCCTGAGACCTGTCGTGTAGATGAAGGGCTTTAAAATGGAATGATCACATGAATGCTCCCTTTGTGGCCCATCTCCTATACACGAACTGAGAAAGTAGCTCCTTAGACTAATCCTTTTCACTATTGTAAAATCTTGTGATCAGCCACGTTAAAGACCACTCAAGGTGAAGGGACCATCTTAGAAATGTGCCCTTTGTTCATAGCTAGGTAGATATTGTCAACACTAAAGATTAATATTTTAAAAAATTACCATCAGTTCTCTTTAAGTAAAACAGATTACTCTTCATAATCAGTTTTTGCCTTAAAAGCAAAAACTGAGGTTTCCCAGAGAAGGAATTCTGCTTCAAGACTGTAACATAGAAATCCTGCCTGTGTTTTCAGCCTGCTGGCCTGCCCTACAGATTTCAGACTCGATTGCAACATCAACGCTTACCTGAATTTACAGCCCGCTGGCCCACCTACAGATTTCAAACTTGCCAGCCCCCACGATTGTGTGAGCCAGTTCCTTAAAATAAATCTCTCTATATATATGCAAAAAATAAAGATTAATACAGGGGCCAGCCTGGTGGCATAGTGGTTAAGTTCACACACTCCGCTTCAGTGGCCTGGGGTTCATGGGTTCACATCCCGGGTGCAGACCTACAGACTGCTTGTCAAGCCATGCTGTGGCAGCGTCCCACATATAAAATAGAGGAAGATTGGCACAGATGTTAGCTCAGCGAGAATCTTCCTCAAGCAAAAAGAGGAAGGTTGGCAATGGATGTTAGCTCAGGGCCAATCTTCCTCACTAAAAAAAAAAAAAAAATTTTTTTTTTTTTTTTTTCAGTTTCTATTCCAAACACAGACTGATTTGGGTCAAGGAAATTAAGAAATTCAATAAAACTGCTTCTTGATAACCTCTGAAAATTAGAGGTAGGTTTTGGGGAGATAACTGACTGAGGACAGCACCAAGGGAAGCCCCAAACAGGATACAGGTTTTTCTCCTGCTTCAGAGAGACCAGTACTCAGTCCAAGAGGACCTCATTGCTTTTTCAGTTTATATGTCACTTCATGAGGTCTTGCTGTGGAGCACTGTACAGCTAACAAACGTTCCAGGTGCTCTCTTCCTACTCTCCGAGAACACGGGATTGCCGTGGAGGCTGTTGCTCCTTCCTTGGTGTTAGCCGAGCACCCATTGTTTGTAAAATAATAATGGGATGCAGCAACTGATACCGTCAGTGCTACAATGATTGTGACAATCATAACTGTAAACCCACTGTTCTTGGATTTCAGGAAGGCTATCCAGAAATGGAGATTCTCTGGCTGATGATCAAGTCCTGGAATACTGGAATATTTCTGTATGGCAGAAGCAAGTATGTGTCTGCTGAAAAATGGTGTGGCCTGGCATTGCGTTTCCTTGACCACCTTGGTTCCCTCAAGAGAAGCTATGAAACTCAGGTGAGGAGGGAGATGGCATGGATGGATGGATGGATGGCATGAGTCAGGGGGCAGAGAGGTTCTATTTGGGCTCTCAGTAAGGACTCAACCGTACCTTACTTGGCTAGGAAAGGATCTTGATCATCGTTCCTCTCAGTAGTTCCCTAGAACTGCAAGAGTTAGGGGACTGTAAATAGTAATTTCTTAGAGTAAAAACCAGGAAGGATGGTGAACAGAGGGGAACTTAGGGCTAGCAAATGGAGTCTAATTAAGAGGAATGCCAAGAGTGAGCTCTGGAAAGATGCATCACTGTCAATGCTGGTGCATGTAGGGAAGGACTGGCCTCTGAGCAAACAATGACTGTTTAAAAAGGTATTTTCTCTGGGAACTATTCTGAATTGCAGGCTTCTGGGCCATTTGCTAACCAGGAGAGGCTTGGTGGAGAAAAACACTTATTACCAAATAAGAGCAAAGGATCTTATATGTTTTAAGTACTTTCTCCCTTATAATAGCTGCCAGTCCCTAGTAAATGGACCTCGTGCAATGGGATCCCTCTTCCCCAAGAGAGTACTGTATTTTCTCCCCAAAGCAGCTCCTCAAATCTCAGAAGGTAAGGGTTAGACTCACGTGCCATCACTGAGGGTCTGGGAAGCTTCCCCACATTTCTTTTCCTCTCAAGAAATCTATTTGCTTTTCTCTTTCCCAGATGAATGTTCTGTATAGTGAGCTTATGGAAGCATTAGATAAAAACAAGGGCTCACTTTTTAATGAAGAGTGAGAACTGCTGGAACGAGGCATATGAGCAGGCAAGCTGACAGCAACTTGAAGAAGATGTATGGTCCTGAGATGTTGAATATTTAAATTCTTGCAAAACTTGAGCTTTTGGTTCTGTTTTCTCAGGCCCTATTTTAAGGTTGTTGAATGAAATTTTCTAAAATAAAAGCATTTTGACTTTTACTGCTGTGACCAGCTCATTTCTGAGGGACAAATGAATTTTCCAAAGTGCTAAGGATTATATATATTGAAATAGCCCATGTGAGAACATGATTCATGCCCCATGTGAACAAAAGGGAATGTTCACCCCAGTCCAACACAGGGTGCCTTTTATTCCAGAAATGCTTGAATTCTCAATACGTGAAGATAACAGAGAGCCATAGATTCTTCATCAGAAAGACCTTAGTGGTCTTTGGGCATTGATCAGAGCCATGAAATCAATGACATCCTTGAGAATTGGTTGTCCAGTCTCTATCAGAACATATCCGATGACAGGGAACTCCTGAGATAGCTCAATCCACCTTTTTTGCTAATTGGTAAAAAGCCTTTCCTCAGACTGAACCGAAATTTGTCTCCCTAGAACAAGTCTGCTTTCTCTGTCCCAGATGCCCTTTGGAGAACTGAAGAGAGAAGGCAGGTCCCTCCCTATCCTGCTGGCTTTTTCTTCTTTCAGCTAAACATCCTCAGACCCCTCACCTGTTCCTCGTGTGATGTAGTCACCTCACCTTCCAAGAGCCAATCCCACGTTGCGGTGAGATCTGACCCACACCGAGTTCAGCAGCCTTATTCTGGCTAGACTTGCATTAGTGTACTGTAAGATCACATTGGGTTTTTTTCTCCAGTTGATTTATATTAACTTTTTTTAACTTCTGATTTTGAATTAGTTTCACACTTACAGAAAAGTTGCAAATAAACACAAAGAATTGCGATAACCCTTAATCCGCTTCCCTATTTGTCAACATTTTACCACGTTGCCTTATCATTCTCTTTCTGTGTGTGTTTCTTTCTGAACCATTTGAGATTAATTTGCAGACATCTTGCTCCATTACCCCTTAGTTACCTCAGTGTGTAGTTCCTAAAAACAAAGATACTCTTTTACATGACCACAGTACAATCATCAAAATTAGGAAATTATCAGTGATACAATTCTACCATCTAATCCACAGACCCCAGTCAAATTTCACTGATTGTTCTAATCAAGTCCTCCATAAGTTCAGGATCATAAAAGTTGCATTTAGTTGTCATGTCTCTTTCCTCTCCTGCAAACTGAAACAGTTCCTCAGTCTTTCCTTATCTTTCACGACCCTGACATTTTTGAAGAGTAGAGGCTAATTACTTTGTAGCATGAACCTCAACTTGGGTGTGTCTGATGTTTCCTGATGATTAGATTCAGTTTATGCATTTTTGGTAAGCATACCAAAAAAGTGATGTGTTCTTCTTGGTGTATCATACCAACAGACACACAATGTCGATTTGTCCCATCACTGGTTAAAGTTAAAACAGTGTCTACCAGGTACTTGGTAATTAAAAAGGAATTATGAAGTACTTTGTGGAAGATGATACTTTGAGACCAAATATTCTGTTCCTCATTAACCTTTCACTCACTAGTTTTGGCATTCATTGATCATGCCTACCTGAATCCGTTTTGACTATGATGGTTGCTAAATGTTAATTTTTTAATTTCCATCATTCCCTCTTCATTTATTAGTTGGCGTTTGTTAGGTAGAGCATTTTCTTCTCCCTCACTTATTTATTCATGTTTTTAAAATGTTTTAGTACAGACTAATGCATTTCTATTTTATTCAGTGAGTTATAATCCACTATTATCATTATTTTGCCGATCAAAGCTGGCTCCTCTGTCCTTTTGACATGTCCTCATCATTCTTTGAACACTTCCTTACTTTATGACACAGTAGGATGTTCCAGGCTCATCTTGTACTTTCCCTGTCCCAACACTGGAATCAGTAATTTCTCCAAGGATCTCTGGTTCCTTTTAGTGGAGAATGGTAGTTAGTACCCAAGATCTGGGTGCTAGGTGTACTCATTGTTACTGGGGTGCCATTGTTTCTAGGTCCTCTCAGTGGACAGAGCTAGGAAATAAGTGTGTGTGTGTATACATATACACATATACATGCATATCAATTTATATATGTGTATACACACACACACACACACACACACACACACTGTATATAAAACTGAATTCATACTGCTACCTCCATTTTCAATCCAACACCAGAGGGCTTATTCTAGCCTTCCTTCCTTTCCATATTTGCAACTCTCTCTTCCAACGTTGAGAAACTTTGTTCCTATTAACCTCAAATATTCACTTATTTGCTCAATCTCCCTGTTTGAGAACAATCTCCCAGGCATGCAGCTGTCTCCTCGGTCCTAAGCTCACCATCCTGACCATGAGGGCTGCCCCTTTTGCCAGAGCCCTGGCAAACACTGGCCAAGTCATGAGCTGAGCAAGCAAGCAAGCTGAGTCCCTAGCTGAGCTCCCGCCAAGGGAAAGAGCAAGAGACCATATTTGCATTTAAGCAGGCATTTCATATTGTTGACTCACTGGGCTTACTGTTTACTCTCCCCTGCCTTCACCTTAGTTTATTCCTACTTAGCTTTGAGAAGTCAGCTCAAGTGTCAGTTCCTCAGAGAAACCTTCCCTGACCAGGTCAAGTTCTCTTGTTATATGTTCTCCTAGCACTCTGTTTTATTCTTCACAGTCTGTAAATATATATTTGTGGACTGATTTAATATCTGTCTCCCTCAATAGTCTTTAAGTTCCATACAGGCAGACAGTATGTTTTCCTCACCACTGTATATCCCCAGCGTCTAGCACAGTGCCTGGCACTTTCAATAAAGAGTTGTTGAAAGAATGAAATGAAAACTTCTTTTTTTCACACATACTGCCATTAATTAATGTCTCAGTGTGTACTTCTAGTTTGTTTAATCTAAGTGCATTTATCATCACTGTTAAATTGCTCTTACCAGTTGTTCTTTTTGGATAGAGTCTATCTTTATTATGTTGTTATCCCTCTCAGACCCATGTCATCTGTATATTTGGTCAGCATGCCATCTAATGTCTTTATCCAAATAAATGATAAAACACACTGAATAGGAGTGGGCTGAGACAAAGCTTGGGAACCTGCCTTGCAGTCCTATCTCCAAGTTCATTCATTCATGCCACAAATTCTTCCTGAACACTTTCTACTCTGCACTGGGCACTGTTAGAGGTACTGGGGATAAAGTCATGAGCAAAGTAGAGGACAAGTCTCTCCTTCAAGCTTACACTTGAGTAGGGGGCAATAGATAATAAACTAGTATATAAATAAATTAAACATTGATCCATTAATTAGTAGACTTTGGGATGATCATTCACCCATTCAGTAATTGAACTATCTACATTTTTCCAACTTTTTTCACAAGGATATCATGAGTGACTTTGTCAGTGCCTTGCTGGAATCCAGATACACTATGTCTACAATGTTCCCCTGCTTTACCCATTCACATTTACTAAGCTCATTTCAGAAAAGAAAATGAGCTTAGTCTGTCTTGAGCTATCCTTAGGTCAAGCCTTTTATAAACCCTTTGTGATCACTAGTCCCTTCTAGGTCTCATGCAAACCATCCATTCCCATAATATAGTCTAGAAACTTGCCTGTGATTAAGATGAAATCTACCTGTCTAAAGCTTGTGATACCTATCATCTTCCCTTTAAAAAGGAGCATATGTCCTTCTGTATGCTTCCAGCATCTTTCTTATGCCCCATGGTTCCACAAAGGTTACAAACACCAGTGCAGTGATCTCATTTACAGGTTCCCTCATCATCCTGAAATATAACTTGTCTGGGCCAAGAGACTCAAAATCATCTAAAGCACCTTGATACTTTCTTACAGTTTGCCTCCTTGCTGTGATCCTCAGTTCCCTCTGACCAATGTCTGCTAGAATCTTTCCAGTCTAATGGAGAGTTTGTAGGGCAGAGAAGACCAAAGCAAACTAGGAATGGAAGAGGTCCTCTTTATCTTTGTGTTCTAGCAACGTTACACCATTTCCTTTTTCATTTTATACACTGTGGTACTATTGGAATTCTTTTTACATGTGCTTATATTATGTTTATAATTCTAAAAGCTAATTTTAATTAAAACAAAACATACTATCTGCCCCAACTTGCAGACTTTAAGGCCTTCATTTGCTTCTTGACGCAAACAAAACTGAAAACAGCCTCTTTTTCTTACTCCTAGAATTAGCTCATTTTGGGTCAGGCTTCCCTGATATGGTTCCATGTTACTATTTTAAATCCATCCTTGGTCAGGTGCCCTTCTTTCCACCTTTTTAACGTCTCGTCGTCAAAGAACTCTCTGTGCATTTACATCATTTTCTTTAGATACCTTTCCTTTTACCTCTTCATTAAAATGCTTCACAATTGGGGCCGGCCCCGTGGCTTAGCGGTTAAGTGCGTGTGCTCCGCTACTGGCGGCCTGGGTTCGGATCCCGGGCGCGCACCGATGCACCGCTTCTCCGGCCATGCTGAGGCCGTGTCCCACATACAGCAACTAGAAGGATGTGCAACTACGACATACAACTATCTACTGGGGCTTTGGGGAAAAAAAAGGAGGAGGATTGGCAATAGATGTTAGCTCAGAGCCGGTCTTCCTCAGCAAAAAGAGGAGGATTAGCATGGATGTTAGCTCAGGGTTGATCTTCCTCACAAAAAAAAAGATGTATAGGATTTGGACATAAGGAATGAGGGGAAGGGAAGTCCAGGCAGAAAAATAACAGCATGGTAAAGGCACGTAGTCTTTCTGTACGAGGAATAGGGAATAGTTCCGTTTATTTGCAGCATAGAGTGCTTGAAGGGGAGCAGTGAGGAAAAGCTTAAAAAGGTAGGCTGGAACCAGATTATGGAGGATCTCGACTATCTGGCCAAGGAGTTTGGACTTCATTCTGTAAGCCACTGAAGGAATTAGAGCTGGGGAGGGGAAGGGTCAGAGACAGACTCCAGGAGTATTAACCTGGGCAAAAGTGGGTAAATTGGATTGGAGAAGGGAGAGTCTAGAGGAAGGAAGACTAATTTGGAGCCCATTATAAT